AAAACCTCTCCCATTAATTAGATGATATAAAAAGTATGAAATATATTCCAAACAAAACCTCTCCCATTAATTAGATGATATAAAAAGTATGAAATATATTCCAAACAAAACCTCTCCCATTAATTAGATGATATAAAAAGTATGAAATCTATTCCAAACAAAACCTCTCCCATTACTTAGATGATATAAAAAGTATGAAATCTATTCCAAACAAAACCTCTCCCATTACTTAGATGATATAAAAAGTATGAAATCTATTCCAAACAACTGTCCCTTAATGTAGAAGGTATACACTCATTGGAATCTATTTTATCCAATGATGTAGGAGGCATACTGCTTTGTCATCTATTCAAGCTAAAATGCAGAAGATATAAATGCTTTGGCATCTTTTCCAGCTAAAGTTTCTACTATCCAACACATTATACCTCTACCATTCATGATGGAAGTTTTTATAGTTGGGTGCAGAAAACAGAATACAATTGGAACCACTCTATATGATGGGAACCACGCTTGCACAGTATCCCCATACATCAAGCCTGAGGGTGTTGCCTCACTCTTACTTCCTCTAGTTCCTACATCTTTGACTGCTACCACTCTGTGTGCTATTAAGTTTTGCTATGGTTGTTGGAGTTATGGTGTGTTTCTATAAAATGAATAAACCCCTTAACTTTTTTGTTGCTGTACCATGTATGTAATTTTTAAACTTGTATATTTTTAGGCACTATTCTTCAGACATTTACCTGAATGAGGCGAAAGAACTGAAGCATCAGGCAGACAGAGAGGTAGATGTACTATCTTGAGTATTTGATTATTTATCTTGCAAGTAAATGATGTTGGTTCAGTTTGGGAAAGAAACAAAAGCAAAATAATTTTACCATTAGAAACGTTTTAGTGATTGACAAAAAATAGAATCATATTGATTATGTTTTTAGTAAAAAAGGTTTTATGACACCACCATATTTTGGTAACTTAGAATCTTTTTTGTGCGTGAAATAACTTTCACAGAAAGCCTAATAATTGTACATAATCTTAAAACAACAGATGCAAACAAGGATTTTTGTATGCTTATAATTTTTTTATTTCCTCTCTTGAATCTCTTGTTAAACCTAAATCTGATTTTGATGCTGTTTAGCATTGAAATGAATAACTAATAACTGTTATGTGAAAAAAGTAGAATATTTATACTTATGGTGAGTTTTTATCAATTAATCAATACTAGAGTTTTTATCAATTAATCAATACTATAATTTCTATCAGGTAATCAATGGTAGAGTCTTCATAATTAAATTAGTACTAGAGTCTTCATGAGATAATTAGTACTAGAGTATTCATAAGTTAATCAATACTAGAGTTTCCATCAGTTAATCAATAATAGAGTTTCCATCAGTTAATCAATACTAGAGTTTCCATCAGTTAATCAATACTAGAGTTTCCATCAGTTAATCAATAATAGAGTTTCCATCAGTTAATCATCAATTAATCAATACTAGAGTTTCCATCAGTTAATCATCAATTAATCAATACTAGAGTTTCCATCAGTTAATCATCAATTAATCAATACTAGAGTTTCCATCAGTTAATCATCAATTAATCAATAATAGTTTTATCAGTTAATCATCAATTAATCAATACTAAAGTTTTCATTAATTAATCAATATGTGTGAGAGTAATTCTAAGCAGCTTCTGTTTTTGTGATGTTTTAATCTGGTGACTGAAGAATTATTACAAACCTACTAATTGTCACATACACATTTATGTTTATCATCTCATACATATTAATGTAAATATTACCTGTAACTTAAATTAGAAGATTTTACGTTTTTACGTCTGATTTTATGATAAGATGGCAAAGATTAAAATATTGTTAGAAATATTCTGTGAACTTGATACTAGAGGTACTAATGAAAGTAACTAATATTTGTTGTAATTCCTTGTTTAAGAACAAGTATGAACTTGAAATGTATTGAGCAACAATACAAGGAAATATAGTATCAATTCTGAAAGATAATTTCTGAATGTAAATGTTATTTAATCCTGTAGGCATTATAAAAAAATTATACTTTATTTACTGATTATAGAATTTTTTTTATTCCAAGTTACAGCTTTTACTGTAAGGAAGAATATTTTTTAGGTTATTGAATGTTGATTTGAATACAAACATTTTCATTATTGTTAAAGTCTGTGTACTTAAGATTGAATCATATCTGAGAAGTAAAAGTCTTTTCAAAGTTCTACCAGCTGGTAAAATAATATTTATTTGCAAGTCAAAGTTAAGTCTGGGTATGATTTTGACATAAGTACTATATTTGTAACCATAAGTTGATCCTCTCTTAGCAATTAAATATTTGGATAGCTTCAACTAACCTGTTTTAATAAATATTAAAATAGAAATGTGAGAAGAATGACGTTCTGCATTCATTGCTTCTAAGGCTTCACCTGATAAACTATAAGATTATAAGGATCTTACATCAATATTTCTCTTGCAATATTAACTTGAATGAGACCTTGAGATATAAATGTTTTAAAACCTTTTTATGATTTTAACATTATTTATTTTAAAAGGTTTCTCATACAATATAAGCTTCACATTTCTATATTAACGTATAATAAGATAATCTTTAACTTTCATACCCAGATATATGTAGAGATGACATTTAAACAGTTCGAGTTTATTATAGAAATGATGTAGATGGGTGGATAAATAGATATTTTGGGAAAATTTCAGGATCAGTGTTTGGAAAATGTATTTATACAATAGTTGTCAATAAGTATCAATCATATTTTGTGACAATTCACTACATTTTAATGTATTTATACAATAGTTGTCAATAAGTATCAATCATATTTTGTGACAATTCATTACATTTTATTGCCTGAAACATTTCATTTCTTGTCAGTCTAATTATTGTATGAGGTCAGTTTCTGTCAAACATTTATAAACACTTACAAATCTTTTAAGCTATACAAAATTAACTGTTTAATATTCTTAGAGATTCTCTAATTAATATAAATATGTTTAGAAACTACAAAATAAATTTCTGTTTGGATAGTGTTTATATCCATTGTAGCTACCTGTCAGTAGTGAAATTATTTTTCTATATTTTAGACAGACAGGACTGTCCAAGCGATGCAATACCTGGAGGCTGTTTTGTACTTTACACTTACAGGAAACGCTATGGAGCACAATCGTGTAGATATTGACAAAGTATACACAATGTACAAAGAAACATTAGGCTTAATTAGGTATGTGATAGGTTTATAGTTTAGATTTGATTAGGTATATGATAGGTTTGTAATTTAGGTATGTAGTAGGTTTATATTTTAGGTTTAATTAGGCATATATAGTAGGTTTATATTTTAGGTTTTATTGGGTATGTGTAATAGGTTTATATTTTAGATTTGATTAGGCATATGTAGTAGGTTTATATTTTAGGTTTTATTGGATATATGATAGTGTTGCGTCAGCGAGTCACATGACTACAGTGATGCCACGTTTCTAGAACTATCCTGTACTTTGGCGAATGCTCTAGTATTTACTAGATATAAGGTAGTCGGGTATATATAAGAGGGGGACAACGTGACGCGGTAATGTGTGTGTGTAGATAGTGAGTAATTGAACTGCAGTCAGAAGTATTGTAGACGTTCGTTGTTACAGCGTTTGTTTAGCGCGATTGTTGAAGTTGAGTGTATCGGTAAAGTTATATTCGGAAAGAATAAACCAGTTTTATTAAGTAAAGACTTGTGTCGTTAAAGTTTCGTCGAAACGAATTTACGGAGAGTTAATTAACAAACGGAGACGTAACAGTATTTTCGTCTCCATTCCCAGACGATGTTGCGGTTTGGAAAAGTGCTCCCATCCCATCAATAACAACAACAAATATTCAACCACAATTAAATAAAAAT